TACGATGCCGGCGAAACGTTTGAGAATGCATCAAGTCCACTGTCAGATGCTGGGAATCATGACAACTACTGTGGAAGACGACTTCGGACTAGGTGCGTTCCACATAGTCTCCCTAAAAACAAGACCAAGTTGCGACAACTAGGTCAACCCACTTCTATAGTAATCGCTGTCCAAAAATGAATCTCCATGTGAAAGATATATAAAGGTAATCGGAAATTTAATGTCCCCTTTCCTAACAATTTTCTTTTAACATGAAATATAAAATTGAGAAGCTGAAACAAAATACACAAAAATGCGAATGACTAAAGGTGAAATTCCCTATATACCAGGCGCTTGGGGACGCAAAACTCAACCAGTAGCAGATAAAAACAGTACGGTCACTCTTCCCTTTTATCTGCTGCTGTCGGTTTAGATAATCTGGGATGTAAATGAATAGAATAGTCAAGATTTCCTCTGAAGAATAATGAGCCATTTCTGAGACAGGGACGGAAATATTCACGATAGTAATAAATTGAAAAAAACAACACTAAAGAGCCAAATAAAGATATCAAACTTTAATCGAGATGGGGTATAAATGACAGAGTTAATGAGAAGCAACAGTGGTCGCTTGAACCATCCCGTGGGCCTCAGGAAAAATAGCTCTCAGAACGAACACCTAAAGATACCGAGCAAGGATAAATGCACATGCTTGGATGAGCACATTCCAGGGATCGGTATGCTGATATTCATCCTACCCCTAGATCGGACAAATTCGCATTTTATCTAAAGCCGAAAGTACGTAGAGTTATTTGGTTAAATCCTAATAGCAAAGTCTGAATAAGTACCTTATATGGAGAAGAAAATCCTGCCAATTAATGTAAAATTATATTAGCATTTTAGGTAATCGTGTAATTAGAAGTTTTTATTTATCTTAGAGAGAAGGAAAATTGCAGTCCTCTATTATATAAGAGTGAAAATAATACCTTATTTCCGTCAAATTTGGGCCCAAGCACAAATAATTTTTGACCAACATTCACCCGGCCACTGAAGATGCGTGCCAAGGCGATGAAATCTGCGTCTCCAAACGGGTTTTGCTGCACCATGGGGGACCGATGAGGCGGGGTGGATGCGATAGGTAGAGTGCTTGGTGGTAGTTTGTCCGTAGATATGGAGGAATCTATGTTCGAAATCTCGTGGTCAGTCCCGTGTGATTGGGACGGCATTTTAGACGTGGGCTCACTGAAGCGATTCTCGTCAGATTTGCTAGTGGCCTCCTTTATCGGATCAAGGATAGGCTCAACTTTGGTAGAGCCATAGCGTAGGTTGCTGAGATTGGTCGTAAAATACGGGAATGTAAAGAGTCAAACTGTTTTGGGAACCATTAAATCTAAAATATTTTAATGAGAAGGAAAATAAAAATAATTTTTGGGTAAGGACTCAGCAACAGTCAATAATATCAAAGAATAGATCAGATATATTGCACTGAGTGTGTAGCAATCTGGGTTTCGAAGAATCCTTTAATATATTGATGTTGGAGTACCTTAAATTTATTTTTAAAGTGGCGAGTGGAAGGAATTCGCAAGTTGAACTCCTCTTGAAGCCGTAACTGTAGATGCATGCAAATATATCATAGGCAGATCGAACCAGATGAACCCTTGAAGGCCTATCGTCCGTCATGCGACGGATGTTGTCAGAGCAGGGTACCATGCCTAAAGATAATTCTCCAAAACACGAAAATAAGAAAGGTGGCCGGATACAAACCTAACCAACTTCGTATAGCCCAATTTTACCCATTTAATTAGATATCTCACGTTTTGGTTGGAAATCCTATGCATTGCTTAAAGGTGTGCTGAAAAGTTAAGGTAAATGGTCGTAGATAACATATGAAACGGAAGGTGATGAAGCGTGAAACAGTGACAATTGTGACCGAGCAGTTGCATCTTCCCATAAAACACTTATAAATTTGATACCACACTATTACCGCATGTGATTGCGTTCCATTGCACGTGTGTTGTGTGGATGCATTGATCTTGAAATGGGTGTGACGTGAGTCAAGACCAAATTCGAGCCTAATAAAGCCTCCTCTTACTCGGCTGTATTTTTCATGCCGCCCCTCTCTAATTCTATCCAACAGCCACAAGCAGTTTCCATTTTACTTCCTACACTCATTCCTTTTTTTCAGTGTGTGTGGTATCCTCAACAAGAATGTTAGTGTGCATAGACTCAACATTAAAACTAACCATCAAATCGCCAGATGGAGTCATACTTAGAATTATTGTGAATACTAAGGGAAGCGTGATGCATAAAACATTATGATTTATTTGTAACCAGTTAAAGCAAATCTTCGAGATGTGGGAGGTTTCAGGCAAGAATCCCTATGCATTCGTTAACTAAGTTGACGATCAGGAGATAGAAAGTGACGATTTGCTGGTAAGTTTTGATGTTGAGTCTATGTACACTAACATTCATGTAGATGATGCCATAGAGGCCCTAAAATCCACACTAGACCAACATGCGGAGATTTTAATGAGCACGAAGTTAAGTAAAGGGTCAATAAGGATACTGACCAATCTAGTGATGTACGGTACATATTTTACCTCTAATGGTAAACTGTGTGAACAAACACGAGGTTTAGCTATGGGATTGTATTTTTCACCAATTTTAGCACATAATTACATGGCTCAATTTGAAGAATATTTAGTTCAGGAGACACTTTTAGTTCCTAACTTATTAGTTCGCTATATGGACGACAACTTTGCTATTTGGCAACATGGAAAAAAAACCATAAAATTTTCTTAGTTTGATGAACAGAATCAATGGAAAAACGAAATTCACCATTGAGTTAGAAAAGGAAGGGGGTTTACCTTTTATTGATGTCATAGTTAGCATAGAGGGGACAAGATTAGGTAGATATGTGTATAGGAAAACCACAAATCCAAGTTTCCTATTGAATTTCCTTTCCAACAACACTTATGGAGTTAAAATAGGAGTTATGAAGTCTATGCTGATAAGAAGCCAGCGTATGGCAGATTTTAAGCTTTGGGACCAGGAATTTAAAAGACTAAGGAGAATTCTAGTTGATAACAATTATCCACAAGGGCTGATTGACAATGAATTTGGAATATTGTCAAATAGGATGAATGAAAATGCATATTTGGAGCTAGATAAAAGGTTATAGCACTATAACAGTGTCCTTATGCGGCTATCGCGTAAGCTGTCGAAGAAGATATGCGAATTACTGAGGTAGAACATCAGTATTATTTATAGAGGAAATAACTCTTTCCTCGGTATTTCCTTCTTTTCGAGAATACTCGAACCCTCTCTCTAGATCGCGCTGTTACAAGATTTTATGTTCATGCGGTGGCGCGTATGTGCGAGACCAGTAGACACACACATAAGAATTTATCTGAACATAAAACAGACTAAAGGGTCCATAAATCGGAATTGGCCGAACACATGTCTCGCACAGGATACCAGAAAGACTGGGCGGTTCGAATCCCGCTGAGGGTGTTGATAAGACCAATGCGAGGTCGAAACTGCAGTCCACCCAGGATG